ACACAACCACAAATCACGGTGTGTGCTTGCACGTGTATTCACGCCGATTTCTTTGTGTATTCACACGTGTAATATGCATGTATTCCCCTGCAATCGCATGCATGTACACACACAAACATGCTTCACATGAGAGAACGCACAGCGGGAGGTTAAGAATCACCGCTTGGAAAGACACACATACATTTTTGCTGCCACTTTTTAGCGTCTGTGGGGTTTCGGCCACTGCGATCCTGAGGCAACTGCCGCACTTTCTCCGACAACATTATGCAAATCTCTTCACAGGAAGGGCGGTTGTGAGGATGTGCACAAAATGCATATGGAATTGATAGCTTCCCGAGCAGGCCCACCCCGTCCATCTGTCCGTCCATCTGTCCATCCACCCACCGCCCGTCCATCCGCCGACCAGCCCCAGCACGCATGTGCCTTGCAGCGTGACAGTTGTTAGAATGAAGAATGTTGAGACAAACACAGCTTGAAAGGGAAGGTTCCTTTAGGAGAGCATTTTGCAGAGCTCGGGCGCCCCTCAGACCACCCCGCGGGAACCTGCTTCTGCAGCGCGTGGGAGGCCCCGCGGGGGCACCTGTTCCTGTTTCACCATGTCCCGGGCTACACAGCCGCGTGTTTTTCAAATGAAAATGGACCCGACACTTCCATCCTCCCCGGCCGCGGCCCCCGGGTGAAGGTCAGCGCCGAGAGTCGGCCCCGGGGGAGGCCAGACGAGGGCGGCCGCACAAAGTCAGCGTTTTGTGACCAAAATATTTGACCGCCTTTGTGGAGACAAGTCGTCCTTCCCGGGGCTGGATCGCAGCCCCACATGGGACGGAACCTCAGGAACGACAGCGTCTCAGCGCTTCTCAGCGCGGCTGCAGCAGGACTCCAGGCAGCCTCCCCCCGCGCCGGGCGATGCCTGCCGATGTGAAATGAATGTCTCCGACAAGACAGGCATGTCGTTTTCCCTGCAATTTCTTTTAAAAACCTGCCACCCTATGGATAAAGCTTTGTCAACTGCTCAGAGAAAATCCGGTTCCCAGCCGGGGGCTGCCCTGGGCCGCTGAGCGACGTTTGGCCGTGCGGGGTGGGGGCCGCGCGGACGCGCATCAGGCCAGCGACCTTGAACCGCACTGTGGGTGGTATCGACCCGGCGCGGCCGGGATCCCACAGCGCGGGGCCCTCACGCAGAGTCCCGGACAACAACAGCGTCAACGTTGAAACAAACATGTCACCTACGAGAAGCCTGAACGGCTAAAGAGCGGCAACTAACTCACGAACACAAAGCATTTCAAATGATCACCAAGATTCGGGTTATTAAAAGTCAGGGTGTAAGAACTGCCAGTGGGTGTGCAAAAGATCTGAGATAACACTCCGGACACGATGCCTACGTGAACCAAAGAAATTTCTTCTAAAAACAAGTGAAGTCTTTCAAAACCAAAGTAGTCAAGCTGGAGCCCAGGAGTTTTCATCCATCCCGAGTGTCCCTAACCGGCCTTTGTCAGCAGGGGGGAAAGCTCCGTAGCCGGCAAAGTCCTTCCCGCTGACACGCGGCGCCCCCGGGTGAGGGTTGGGGCTCCCTCTGCAGATTATCTCAGGCGCCTAGCAGGTGCCTCGGCCCTCCCCCCGCGAGGAAGTCCATCCTCTGACCTCCAGGTGACCTTCTCCTAAACAACACGTGAACTTGATGCGAAAACAAAGATCTGGTGTTGACAGTTGAGAGCGTCACAAGAGGTGGGGAACAGGAGGAAACCCGTGAGCAAACGCGGTTCATGCCCGTTCTGGGCACACGGTCATCTGGCCCTTCAGGTGTATTCTGGCTTCCCGCGGGAATCCGGGCTGCACACGGGGTAGTAAACTCACTTCCAGAGCCCCTCCGACGAGAGGGGTTAGTGTGAAATGTGTGAACATGTCCATTAGCTGCGGGGCTGAATTCAGTGACTGAACACGTTAATCACAATCATTCAATGTCTTTGCTTCTGTACTCGCGACGCGGTTTTACATTTCCACGGGTGAACAGCAACTTCCGTAACAGGGGCCTGTTCTGACTTCAGCCTGGACACTGTCACGTCCAGGGCCCAGCCTGACTTTGTTCCCAAGCTCATCACGTCCAGACGGATTTTAAAAGTTTGGGGGATTTTTCCAGTTGAAACCAATGAACTTAAATTAAGAAGTTAAATATCACTCTGGTGATAGTAAACAAATTCTAACTTTATTGAAAGAAAGCAGTGCTGGTTTGAGGATCATAGAAAATTAATTTTTAAAGCCGATTTAGCATTTTATATCTAAATTAAGCTTTCTTGGGCCTCCCCGGTGGCGCAGCGGTTGAGCGCTGGGTTGCGAAGCTGCCCGCAGCCTCTGCAGCGCCGGTTCGATCCCCGGCTGCTCCCTGGCCACCGGAGGAGGGTCCCACATGGCACGCAGACCTCTCCTGCCGCCCGCTGCTCCCCTCAGCAGTGTTCTTCGGTCCTTCTGCCTGCTCTGCTCCCCGCTCTGGCTCTGGTGAATTCTCTCACCCTCCCGCGCTTCTGACTGTACCCAGTGCTTGTATAAATAAATAAATAAATCTTTAAAAAAATAATTAAAAAAATAAATTAATTAAGCTTTCTTAGTTGTCTTGAATAAAACATCAACATTGTTCCCATTAATTATAAAATTTACTTGACAGTTTCCTCAAAAAAAAAAAAAAATAGAGGGTTAAGAAGGAAATCTGAATCATCAGAAGCATTCAGAGTTCTTGTTTTAAATGATTTTACCTATTTTCTGACCATTATCATTGGGGACACATTAGACTTCAAACAGGTACATGTGCATGTTTTATGTGCGATTTTTTTTTTAATTGAAAGTTTATATCATCCACTCTTCTTAATAAAATATCGCTGTTTCCTGAAACGGTGCCTTGGTAAGTTACAGTTGTACCAAGTTCCCTGTGGGGACACGTCCTACTGAACCATCAATTTAGGCTCCAAAGAATGTGTCACCCCTCCAGAAAAGTCCTCTCCTTAAACAGTGTTTAATCTTCTGTTTAGTCTGTGATTCACTTTATTGCTCCAGATATTAAACATTTCTTTTCTCTGGGGACCTTCAGTTTAATTGAGAAATATTTTTAAAATTTGAAAATTACATATTGTATGCAATTTTGATTTTGCTGACAAAGCAATTCTAAATTTTATAACTTTTTCTTTTCAAAATAAAGTCTTCTATCTACTTGTAACTATCACACTATATTATAAGGTTACTACCTAAAATATAAATTGTTTAAAAATTCCACATGCATTTAAAATAAAACATTTAATGTAACTATGGTCCTGTGCAGTTTCCAAGTTGCTTTGCATTTTTTAAAAAGATTTATTTATTTATTTATTTGTTTACACAAATACTGGGTATAGTCAGAAGCGCGGGAAGGTGAGAGAATTCACCAGAGCCAGAGCGGGGAGCAGAGCAGGCAGAAGGACCGAAGGACACTGCTGAGGGGAGCAGCGGGCGGCAGGAGAGGTCTGCGCGCCAAGTGGGACCCTCCTCCGGTGGCCGGGGAGCAGCCGGGGATCGAACCGGCGCTGCAGAGGCTGCGGGCAGCTTCGTAACCCAGCGCTCAACCGCTGCGCCCCCGGGGAGGCCCAGTTTTGCATTTTTTTAATAACTCAGAAATGCTTGCCCAACAGAGACAGTCTTGCCACTGCTTTCTTATGTGATCACAACACCCGTAATTCAACAATGGCCTGGAAGGACCCCATAGAATTTTTCGCTTCACAGTCTCAAAACCAGCAGCATTTCAACACCATTTTCTACGGACGGCCAGTGACTGCTCAAGCACCAAGTGGTGGTGGTGGGGGGGGCGTGGGTGTTTGCCCAGGTCTCTGCAGTGTCCAGGCATCCCAGGACAGACACCTCAGGTGCTGGCTGCCAGTGGGGCGCCCTTGGGTGGGGGTGGGGCTGGGTGAAGGTCAGTGAAGGTCAGCCAAGGCTGGTTTCTAGGCAGCCACAGACCGGCCAGCTCTGCAAGCTACTTGCATCCTTTAATCTTAGCTCAGCATCAACCTTTCCAAACCAAATCAGGCCCTGGTGACCAGACGGGCTTAGAAGTGGCCGAGCGGCAGACTCTGGCCGGCAGTGCCCCCGGCCTGAGGACCCGGCTGGGAACGCAGGTTACATGTGGCGTCTGGCACACGGCGTGGGTGGGTCAGGGCACAGGTGGGGCGTTTACGGTTGGGGCAGCCAGGACATTCCATCTATTTCCCCACGATCACGTAGCAAAGGTTGGTGCACAAACCACACAGGGTCTTATCTTCCCACAAAGAACCGCTCTTCCCTCGCACGGGGCATCAAATGGGTCCCCGTGGGAGAGCTCTGTGCTGTCATGGGCCTGGCCTGGCCTCACCACAGAAGCCTCCCAGCCGGCGGAGCTTATGTCAACGAACAAGAGCGAAGCCATGACACAGGCGCGTGAGGCTCAAGCCCAGCAGAGGGCGCCGCGCAGCCACGGGGTACACCCTGCACCGTGGCTGTCCCGGGACACAATCTGAGCTCATCAACCTCTTAAAATTTCCACCCCAAAGTTGTCCAGTCACGTGATCAGGGTCCAAAGGCATCTAGCCTGAAAGTGACGAACCGCAGAACGACACGTAGCCGAGGCCTTGAGCAGCCACGGTGAAGCCAAAGCCATTTTCGCCATTAAAATGTCAGTTCCCGCCGCGGCCTTCCGGGATTCCCCTCACCAGGCCCTGTTGCCTGTGCCGCCCAACGCAATTTTAACAAAGCAGAGAAAACAATCTGCTTCTGCAGTAACATGAAGTCTCCAGAAAAAGGGGAAATCGGCTAATCAGCATCCAAAACTTCTTTACTGATGTCAAAAAGCAACGCAGCTTTTCCCAATCAACCAGAACTTAACCGAAAAGGCAACGCTGGACACTCGGAGCTGCCAGGCCAGGCTCAGCCCGACGGTCGCGCTCCGGTTGCGCTCCCCGCAATCGGCCACACAGTCCCCGGATCCCCTGCCCCGCGGGGCCTCCTACCTTCATACAGAGCCTTGAAGCCTTGGGCGCTCACGGCGAAGTCGGTGGTGAACCAGAGGGTGAGGATGGAGCCGGTGCTCACGATGGGCGACGGCAGCTGGAACCCCGACAGCCTGCGCCCCAAAGAGAGGAACAAAGTTAGGAGTGAGGACCTGCCAACGAGCATCCCCCAGCCCACCTGGACCCTCAACAGCCCAGTGACCCCACCAGGGATGGGGAGACTGGGGCGAGGCTCGCCTGCCCCCCCCCCCCAGGCGACCCCGCTCCCCACAGGCACGTCTCCGAACCCGCCGAGCCAATTGTGGCTGCTCTGGAGAATCACGGTCACCGTGGGGGACAGGTCAGAGCCCACCCCAACCTCGCAGGCCCAGCAGAGCAATGTTAACATTTGCCTGGAAGACAAGTCTTTGGGCGTCTAAGAGACGCTTTCCACTGATCACCGGGGCTGAGAGGAGGCAGAGACTTTAACAAGGCTAGTCAGGACCCTGAGGGGTGGCGCTGCAAACGCGGCCTCCAGTCAAGCACTATCCTCTCTGGAGCAAGACCGGAGCTGCTCCCCACAGACCCCCGTCCCTGGCAGTGCCCGAAGTCTCCCTGCAGCATCCTGCAGCGCTTTGAACACAGCCGCCACACGCGGAGCTCCCTGCGCTCACCCCGGAGACAGCAGGTGCGGACTCAGGACCGCGGGTGCTGGGTGCAGAGTCGCGGCTCCCACCTGCCCCGCGAACTCAAGCGCCGACCCCACAGCTGCCAGAGGACGAGGCCGCAGCCGCAGCGCGGGAGGCGACAGGTCAGTGCGGGCAGCCCCGCGGGCGAGCCACATGTGTGGGTTCACCTGCTCAGTCTGAGCAGACATTTCGGATCCTTTGGGTTTCGTTTGTCAACGTCAGCCTGGCCCTGGCGGCCGCCCTCTGCTCCCAGACCCCATGTTGTAGAAACCCATTTTAAAGTCAGTCCCTTTTCCAAGGGAGTCACACAGGCCCGGCCAGGGCTGTGTCCGTGGGATGCTGTTCCCCTCCGAGGATTCCTCCCTTGCTGGCGCGGCGGCCCCTTCACCCACCGCGGGGGGCTCTGAGGATCCGAGGGGGCCCAGCACAGCTGCCGTTGCTTGTGTGGGTGCGTGCTGGCAGCCTCTCCGAGCGCGATCCTAAGGCTTCCACCAGCAAAAACAGAGTGACACGAGGGACAGCGGCATCACCGACCGCCCTGTCCTTCCCGGGCAGTGTACGTTCCAAGCCCGTGACATTAACTGTGCAAACGCCGTGGCCAGAGTCTCAGAAAACCGGAACACTAGGCATGTGTAGGCTGACACGCGGGGCGTAGATGTGAACGCAAAGCTCGTTGGGTCTCTGCATTCCCTGCATGAAGCCGACGGAGCTTTGGCTGCATTTAGGGGCCCTGGGGTGCTGAGGCCGCCGGCACAGCCGGTGCAGGACGGACCCTCTGGAGAGAGTAGAGGGCTACGTCTTCCCCAACAGAAGCCGGAGGAGACCCCAGACCATGACTAGAGCCCGCTGGTCCCAGACAGCCCTGCTCCCGAGCTCCCGGCCTCCTGGCCTGCAGGCCCGGCCGGTCCACCTGCTCCCTCCCACCTGCCTTCTTGATTTCTGTCTCTCCAGCCGTCACCTCCCCACCAGGCTTGCTTATGGCTGGTGGGAGCTTCACCTTCTCTGCCATTACTCTCGCCTGCGTCAGCCTCTTCCTTTGGCCTCCTGAGGACCTGAATTCCCTCGGTCCTCCTGCTGGGTGAGCAGTGAACTGCTCCAGGCTCTCCACTCACACGGGGCCGGAGGCCTGGCCCGTGGGGAGAGGCCCTGCTGCGGGTGGCCCACCAGGGGCACTGGCCATGTTGGTCAGCGCCGGGGGCACACCCTGCTCCCGACAGGGGCCCGAGGGTGGACACACTCTTCTAGCACAGAAATCGGCACATGCACAGGCCACCAGCAGGCCGCTGGCAGGACATGGCCAGCACGCTGGAGCACTGGGCCTGACGGAGCCGTCCGGGGCACCTCCACACCCAGGGACGTGCCATGACAGTGGCCTCGCTGCCCCGCGGGTGCCCGGGGAAGAGCAAAGTTGCCCCGAACCAGACAGGCTGTGGGAGAGGATCCTCACCAGAGCTCAGCTGTGGCCCAGACCCCTGCCTTCTCGTCCCGGCCGGGAGGAACGCGTGGTCTGGGTTAAGCTGCCAGTCTCCGGGGTTCCGTTAAGGGGCCCGTGAGGGGAGAGACATGCCGATGCCAACCAGACAAGACGGAGCAAGAAAACCACAGCCCAGCGTCCTTCACAACCACAGCTGCAGCGGGCCTCCCCCGAGCTGGGGAGAGAGGAGAGGTGAGCAACAGGATTTATCAGAGCGATCAAGTGTTCGTCGAGGGATGGGAATGTTCAGTGTTCAATCCCTGATAATCAATCAAAGGAACATGCCATGATAACAGGTTATGAAAAACTGCAGATCGTAATAATCCATGTAGGAAAAAAGCATTTGACAAAATCAGGCGTCTAATCATGAAGAAAACTCAGTGAAATAAAAAGGGATGAGAAATTCCCTGAATGAACAGAGTATCCACAAAAAAACAAAGCCAACCAAAACCCAAAGCCCACGGTGGACGCAGACGTCGGGGGGTGCCGGGGCAGGCGACAGGGTCTCTGCTCTCACACTCTTACCCCAGACGGCGCTGGGCACTGTAGCCGGAAATGAAGCCAAGACAAGGAAAACAGGATACAAACAATAAAAAAAGAAACAAAACTTCCCCCCTTTCAGATCACACAGTTGATACGTAGATTATGTGAAATAAAATAAAAATCTTAGCACTGACTTTGGTGACCAGCAAGACACGACCTGACTCCGCGTCCCGAGCTGGACGGCCACCCGGGAGAGCCGAGCCCTCGCGTGCCCAGAGCGCCGGCCGAACACCATCCGGGAGCGACGCAGCTCCGAGCAACAGTCGGCGAGGCCAGGTAGGACGCGTCTGTGCCAGTGGACTGGAAGACAGCCCTGAACAGATGTCAGTTTTCCTCAAATTCATGTGTTGGCTTAGCGCAGTTTGCATCAAAATCCCCGCAGGGTTCTTCTGCAGACGTGGAAAGTCTCCTGCAACGGACGTGGGCGCTCACAGAGGGGACCTGCTGACTCTGAAAATGAGTAGAACAGGAGTCGTCAGTTTACCCGTTTCCGAGGCGGGTAGCTGCAGCGGCCAGTCCTCTGGCAGGACAGACCCAGCTCGGCAGTCAGAGCAGAGGCCCGGGCACCAGCCACAGGGAGAAGCCACTGGTTCTCACAAGTCCGAGGGCATCTCAGCGAGGAGAGAGTCTTCCCCAGGTGCAGCCGGAACATCGGGGTGTCCGGGGGCAAAAACAAAACGCGCCGAGGAAACAAGACTAACCCGCTCCCCTCTTACTAGTCAACGTGAACAGCACAGACGTCAAGTGTGAAACTGTACAATTTTCAGAAAACAGTAACGTAAAGGGGAATCTTTCGGACCTAGGGCAGTGCCAGGATCGGGCACCGAGCAGGTTTTCTAGGATCTGAGCAGACCGGGCGGGTGAAGGAGCGTCCTGGCGCCCTCGGTGGCTTTCTCAGGCTTTTATTGAGCTTTACATGTAGTTCGGCACCAGGTACACGGCAGGCAGGGGTGCCGGAGGCCGAGAGGCCCCGGCAAGGCTTCACTCTGGGCTTCTCTGGCTTCTTTCTCCCCTTCTCTCTCCTGCCTCTTTCCCTGCTTCTGCCGCTTCTCTTGGTGACTCTCTCTGTACTCCTCGCGTGGCCCACAGCGGCAAACACGCCCTCAGCTGTAAGCCCTCAGCTTATAGGAGTGTGTCACCTGCAGGTGCCCATCAGGCAGGCGATCCTAATGGAGGGAGGGCAGAAAAGCCTGAAAACCATTTACCCTACGCCTGGGCCGAAGGCTCCGCCCGCGCACACCGAAAGCACAATCCATGAGAGAGAAAACTGACGTCGCCGCTGCACAAAGACCGAGGCCTTCTGCTCCGCAGGCCCTGGTGGGGGGTGAGGAGATGCTCTAGGCAGAAATGCGAATCGCTTATCTGGCAAAGGACAGGCTTCTCGAACACACAAAGTACCCTGAAGACTCAACAGCGAAAGAACCAACAATTCAATTGGAAAGCAGACAGAAGACACACAGAGGGGTTTCAGCTAGAAGGATGTCCACATGGCAACAAGCACGCGAGCGGACCTTCACCCTCGGTCGCCGGGGAATGCAAATCCAGCCCAGGCGGGACCAGGCCTGCACACCTGCCAAGAGGGACTGAGATAACGCAGGGGCACGCGGGAAGCTAGGACGAGGGGAACCGGCTGCTGGGGAGTGCCGCTCGGAAGGTTCTGGAAGCCCTAAACCAGCAGCCCCACCGGTCCAGCGAATCTCTCCTGGACACGTGCCCCAAACCAAGGCTGGGCCTGAACACCCTACGCCTAACCCAGGTCGTTGTGCCTTCGAGTCCGGCTGAAGGAGAAAATGCTTGTTTTCTTTACTTAAATTTTCTTTTACTGCAGCAACAGGGAGCCCCGCGGGCGGCGGGCAGAGGCTGGGGTGCCTGGGGTGGTCCCGGGGCGGGCGTCCCGAGCAAACCCCACTTGCTGCTCCCAGTGACCGCGGGTGGACGGAGCCCGGGTCCTCCGAGGACGCAGGTTGCTCGTGGCTCGCGCGGCTGCTGCACTGACAGTGGCCGGATCCAGAGAACAACCAGGGGAGAACCCGAGGGCGTCCATCTGAGTAGGTTCCACTTTTCAGCGTTCTTGAAGTGGCGGGGTTTTCGAAACGCAAACGAGACTTTATGCGGCCAGGAGTACGGAAGGGCTGAGGCAGGAGGGCGCGGGACGCAGGGAGGGCAGCGCCTTGGGTGGGCACGGCCGTGCGGGTCGGGGGGACCACCATGTGGCTTTCATCCACCGAACCCCAGGGTCCCGGGAGAGCTGCACACAGAACCCCATTTCTCAGAGCTGCGCGCGCACCTGTCAGTCTTTCACATTCAAGAGATCAACAAAACAACAGGTTGGAGGACTTGAGGCTGGGGGGCGCCTAGGACAGTCCACAGAGAAGAAAACCCAAACGCAAGACGTGCCCCGCTGGACAGAGCTCACGACTACCAGCTC